CAGCACTGAAAATTAACGCCTCAATAAAACAATTTATTGCTACTTATAAACGTACAGATATGATAAAATTTAAAATATACAATAGCAGACACCCAAAATAATGTCCCTGCCCAACTATCCACAATTAGATATACCTTAAAAACTGAAAAAAGGAGTGGCAGTTCATTAAACTTTTGAAATAGAAATTCATTTTATAAAGGATCTTTCGCAGATGCATTTTGAAGAAAAAACCCTCAAAAAGTTTCTTCAAAACAAGTGTCCTCATCTTTAAGCTTTCGAATTTCAAAGTAAATAAACTTTTCAGAATTCTCAATCATTTTCACATTCACTGCGTGTTTTCCTTATTGTTCTCATGCTTATTCCTTATTTTATCAGTATAAAACTTGGGGGAAATAGGTGCAGTAACTTTACCCGATGGTTCAATTTTCACTTCTTTGTATTTTTTTACTGGTTGTGCTTTTGTTTCCGCCATTTTTCGCAACCTAGCGACCTCTTCTGCTTCCTGCTGTAGTCTTATCATCTCTTCCATTTGCTTGTGTTGCTCCAGTCTTTCTTCTTTTTCACGCTTTTGTTGCTCAAAGGCTTCTCTCTCTCTTGATCTCAGGTCAGTGTTTAAAGTAAACTCACTGATTTCGACAAGAGGTTTATCAGATTTTTTGGGTATAAATGGATTTTTGGTAAGTACCGTAGCTTACTATGGCTATTCTGATAGTTCGCCAAATAGGAAAAGACATTCCCCAAATTTGTTCCTTCTTTTGGAAGTTTCTCAAAAATATTTTCTTCTATTCGCAATTATAATGCAGCTGAAAAAGCAAATGCGCTGTTGTTTCATAATTTGTATTACTTTCGTATCTATTATGAATGGATAATAAGAATAAAAAAAATTATAATTCATTATAAGAATTAAATTTTTTTTGACCTGCACTGATGCTTTTACTTGAAGCCATTCTAGAGACATTTAATATGTACGTGGGTGCTTATTACACAATTTAATTTTTTTTAAATTGTTTTGATGATTTTATTTCAGAGCCGAGCACAATGAACACTGGTAGAGAATTGTCAACAGAATTGAGGTACCAAAAATCTGCTAGTATGATTACAAGTGAGTAGATCTTTTTTTTTTATTTTACATCAACATTGAAACGTCATAATAACTATGTCCTATTGATCATATTTCAATCACTTGATTGAAAACAGTAGACACAAGTATTCTTGTATGTATATAAAATATACACAAGACTACGTTTTTTTTCATGACATTTCCAGAAGAATATTCAATAGATTTCAGTTAGATTTCTTGGAATCGATTGTTGGAA